TAAACCCCTAAACCCTATAACTCTACCCCAGTTTCAGGCCGAGGCCCCGGGGCCTTCCGCTGTGCCTGCCGGCGCGCCAGCAGCGCCAGCGGCACCGCTGGGGACCCAAACTGATGGGGTAGTTTGGGGTTTAGGATTTNNAGGATTTTAGGGTTTAGGTTTTTAGGGTTTTAGAGTTTAGGGTTTGGGGTTTAGAGTTTGGGGTTTAGAGTTTAGGGTGTAGGGTTTAGGGCTTTAGAGACGTTATTCCCAAGAATGGAGAAGAACACAGAAAATCAAACGGGAACTTGGATGATCTCGTGCTCTGCAGGGACTAGGGACGTATCAAGCAGCTTTTTGTCTTGCTATTGTGTTTGGTTCTTGTCTATAAGGTTCCTTAGGACTACTGGTGAGTGTATGGATTTGGTGTTCAAGTCGGGGGGAGGGGGGGGGGACCCAAGATCGGGTTTAGGTGTTAGGGGTTGGGGTATACGTTTAGACCCACACACATACTCCTAGAACAAAATTTTCATGAATACAAGATGTTTAGGGCTTGGTGATATCGAGCTTGGGGTTGCTGATTTAGGTGTACACAGTTAGGGATGTGGAGCTTAGGGCTTGAGGTGTAGGAGTTCAAGGTGTGGGGTACCCTAAAACCTAAACCCTGCCCAAGAGTTGAGGTGCAAGCTTTTCAGCCTAGCAAGTCGGTAGGCTTTTAGAAGAAGCATACACACGAACTTAGGGCTGTATGAGAATTGTGCAAGTCTTCTTGGGGCGTTTGCCCAAAAAGAGAGGAGAAGGTTGTGGAGAAGCTGGGGTAAGGGACCTCAGCAAGCGGCAAAGAGGGTTTGCAATGCGAGTTGCGCGTAGGAGTTAGGAATCGATGTAGGGGTCAGGCTCAAGTAAGGGTTGAGAATTCAGGTTTTAGGGCGGGTGTTCGGAAAGGGTGCTCGGAAACAAGTAAGTACAGGTACATGAATTACGAGGGTCATGGGGCTCGTCCAGTCCAGTCATGTAAATGCCATGCCGGTAGGAGGGCTAGGACTCTAGAAAACCATACTCCAAACAACATTTAATCCCAGTCTTCAATTCAGTTTCCATGTTCTTGTGCATTTGGTTCTCAAGTTTGCGGCTGATATCCTTAAACACCAAACGCAAACTTCTGGAAAGCTCCCACATCGAGTCGGGGCCTTCAGTCTTTGATTGAGGTGCTGCCGAGCGAATGGCCTTTCTAGTGCAACCGAAATCCGCATGCACGCTTTCGATATTCCTAGGGTTCAGGGTGTAAGGTTTAGGTTTCAAGGTTTGGGGTTTGAGGTTTAGGTCTTAGGGTCTAGGAGCTGCAAGGGCAACCCTATTTTTGACATGAAGCACCCCTAGACATCATCCACCCTGAAGCCCCGCCCTGTTTAGAAAAGCCCCAGAACTAGGTCGCGGTTGAGGAGCTCAGGGTTTAGAGTTTAGGGTTTAGGTTTTTGGATTTAGGGTTTAGTTGGGTTACCATTATGAAGAAGCCACATCTTGTAGTGTATATCCCAGCTTTAAAGTACATTGCTCAATCGCAAATCAGGCACTGGGTTTGAACATAGTCCTTCGTATAATGGGCTCCCCGCAAAAAAAATGAAATCCCTGATCCCTATAACCCACTGGACAATCACAGGTCCCATTTCATGTTCCACTGTCTCATCTATTTGATTCTCTGTTGTTATTAGGGGGTAATTTTGTCA